GGCTGCCCTGCTCGGGGCTCGGCCGCGGTCTGATGCCCTCTCTGTTCCCAGAGCATGTGGAGCTGGTGAAAAGGACGATGGCCAGCGTGAAGCTTCCCACCCTGGGCATACCTGCCTGGGCTAGCCAGATCTCGGAGGACCAGTGGAAAGACGTGGTGCAGCGCACGCTACAGGCCCGGCACAGCCTCAGCGGCCCCAGGCCCGAGTGGAAGTGAGGGCCAGGCTGCGGCGCAGGGGCTGCTAACCCCAGCCCTCCCTCCGCTGCGCAGGGAAGGCAAGCGCCTGCTGCCTTGAAGCCGGGTGGTCACGGGACTTGCCGGCATCGACGTTCCAGTTTCTCCTACTGACATTGTCCAACTTCCCTTCCTGCTCCTCTTTCCTGGTTCTGGCTGGCATGTAAGTTGCTGTGATGTCCTTGCGTTGGCTTCCTCTGCCTCCGAGGAGCCTGACCGGTTTCCATACCTCTGTGTATGTGTGTGTGTGTGAAGGGGGCTTGGCCGGCTTTGCCTGTATTCCCTTGGGACAAACACTGGATTTGTCCCTGTGCTGTCAGTGCTGGAGGAGTCCCTCTCCATGCTAGGACAGGGGTTGGGTGTTGGAATAGCAGAGGTGGAGTCCAATGTGTCTTTCCAAGAGATTGGTTTTATTTAGTTCTGTACATACAGGGACATCTGTACAAAATCCAACACTTTCATACTATGTAATGCTCTACTGAAAATAAAGTACACCATATGTACATATGAACTGTAAGCAGCTTAATACTTGTGTCCAGGGGGTGAATGCAGTAGTTAGTTTTGCTTGTTCCCTCGGGAAGAGGGAGCCAGGTGAAGTGGAAGAGGCAGCTCCAGTTCTGTCCATTTGGCTGATTTAGGGAAAGGCATAGGCAGAAATGAGCAGCACTAATGCTAGAAACCAAGTGCTGAGCGAGGGGCAGGTGTAGCGCGGCAGACGCAGGTCTGCGTATGAGCAGCACACGTGGCAGAGAGGGTGAACGCTCTGCCCCCTTCCTCACATGGTCCCCTTCTTGGATGTCCAGGACACTGGAATGAATAGGCAGCAAACTAATGGCAATGTGAAGGTACTAAGCATAAGTTCCCTGACCCAGAACAAGATACACAAAGCTATGAGAACATCGAAGCCTTACAGCACGTAGTCGTGATGCGCTACAGCCCTGCCCCAGCACGTGGCACAAC